GGGTCGGCGCAACCAAATTTAGAAACGATGTGTTTTCCAAGAGAGAAAGATTGACCTTAACGGGAGCTTTGGGTGGAGTCATTCTCAGATTTATTGTTATCTCATTGACCCTGCTTTCATTCCAAACACACACTTCACGAGGCTCTTTTTTTTAAATTTTTTTTTAAAATTTATTTATTTATTCATTTCATTCAATACAAAGAAAAATTCATTTAAAAAATGAAATGAAAGGTAGCAGAAAGAAGAAAATAATCTTATAATATCTGCCCCTTGTTCTCAACTATGGATCAAAACAACAAAAAAAAAAACAAAAAAAAAATTGATTTGTCTTATGTGACAAAAAAAGAAAACAAAGGAAGAACAAGAAACAAGGTCAATCATCAATCTCAACTGAACGATACTATACTCTAACTTTATACTATTTCATACTTCTTCAAAAAAACAATCTTTAACATTCTTTTAAACATGTGTAATGATTTAACATTTTTAACATCGTTTTGTAGGTCGTTCCACAGTTTGACTCCTTGTATCGAAGTACATCGTTCTTTCAAACAAGTTCTGAATTTAGGTTTCTTAAAAACCTTCAAACCGCTCTTCAAACCGAGATGCAAAGCCAGGAAATCATTTCTGCCTCCCCGATCCTACCTGAAGATCAGGGAAAACTTTACATTTTCTGTGGCCTGGAACCACTTCCCAGTGTGCACACCACTAAACCAAAGTGCACGTTTGGTGGGGGCCCAAAGGCCGAGTTTAAACGGCCCCCCGATTGAAAATGCTGATTTAATTTCATTTGGATAGTTTGGAAAGCATATTTCTGCACAGTTCTTATGATTCTTAAAGAACACTGTCTTAAAAACATTTACATAGATTAAGTCTGAGGTAAGACAAAAACTGTTTTTAAAAAATCCTCCTCTCTGAGATGTCCCTGCTCTAAAAATGGATTAATCCATTATCGTGACCCCTTATTCCCTAATAGGGTCCCGGGGGGACTGGAGCCTATCCCAGTAGCCAATGAGGAGAGGCGGGGTCACCCTGGAGGGTTCCCAGTCCATCGCAGGGACACACAGAGACACACAAGGACCAACAACCACACACACTCACACTAAGGGCAGTTTGGAGTCCAACCAACCTAACATGCAGGTTTTTGGACGGTGGGAGGAAGCCAGAGAACCCGGAGAGAACCCACAGACACAGGAGAACATGCAGACTCCACCCAGAACCCTCTGGTCCTGGTTCACCCGGGGACTCCAACCCAGAACCCTCTGGCTGTGGGGCCATGGTGCTGACCACCACACCACCGTGCCGCCAAAAAATGGATTCAATCTTAACAGATAAAAACAAAAGAAAAGTATAGATAATGAATAGATCAACAGCTCTATTACAAAGACCAAAATTAATCTTCAGCTTCAAACAGAGAATAGCAATTGTTCTGATTTCTGATGAAAAAGGTGAACTTCCATATTTCAAACTATATATTTAAGAAACACATTTGCTGAATCTGCTCATCAAAAATCTTCTCCCCATCTAAAAGTTATGCTCCCTTATGTTGTATGTAAATTGGGTGGTTATTTGCAAACTGAAAATTAATAAAATCCCTGTACAAAAAACAGAGCTTTCCATCACCAGGCTTCTCTTTTAGGCTCGCTGAGCTGCATTCAGGTACAGTCCGGCAATCGAAAGCTTTGCCAAAAAGTGCTTTCAATCACATTGTGATTACAAAATTTCAGCTTTATTATAATTTATCCAGTTTAACTAACATCTTTGCCCAAAAGGATTCAAAAGGACTAATAGTCAAATCAGTGCTTATGTATTTTTGCATTAATTCTTGGACAAACAAGTCAGCCAAGTCCGTATGAGGAGAACAGATAGATGCGTCCAATCTGGAGAGGCCTCAGAGTGGAATGTTCGAGAATAGAGTGCGCCCTCTTTTAACTAGGGTCATAATTTAAGCCTTAACATGTGCATCCCTCTACCTTGTCCTTACACTATTTTGCTATGGGCCTTGATTGATAAATAACCTGTATTCATAAAGTAGATTGTATTTTTTAATACCATATTTGGTAACCCTGGATCTATACATTTCCCTAACTGGTGTGCCCAGTGAGTCCTTTCAGTCCAGGCCTAAGTCCAGAATATAGTTTATTCATATCACTTAAGCGTCCCCTTGATTCTCTAAGAATGTCTTTTTCTCAGATGTTTATGTGTCAGAAAGTACAATCTGTCCAACCAGGCACCGCTGAGTTCTGCTTGAGGGGCAGGGTGGAAAAAAAGGGATATAATCTGTAGAGTGAGGGTATGTGAGTAGTTTGAGAGGTGTGGCAACCAAAAGAGAGGTCATTTTACAAAAGGTTGAAATATCAGAACATGTTTAATCACGCTCTCACTAATTAAAGTGGTGAACACTTTAAAGTAAGAAAAAGGACTGCGAGTTGTGGTAACTGGTATAAAGAAATACTGCAGCGTATCAACAATGGGTTGACACATTTACAGTCTTTGTGGAAAAGAAAAAAAAACAGTTTCTTGTGTAGGTTTGATTGAGTTAGATTTTTTATCGTGTTCAAACGTGATCGTCTCTGTTAAAGTCACTGTGGCGCGCACTTACGTGCCTTTACGCTGCGTCTTTTTCTCTTAAAGTAGAGGGACAGATTGAGAATCAGAGTATCCGATAAACGGGATGACTCACGCACTTAATACAATAGATGTCAAATCTCAAACCCACGGCTCACTGCAGCTGTGCGTAAAAGCGCGCGTGGTGGGCTGATGGACCCTCGTAGCGCACATCCAGGAAGGACCTACAACCCCCCACTCTGCGGGCATTCGGTGTGATCTACTGGAGAGGTGTGAAATACCGAGTCAGTATTTGTTTTTTTTTATCTGAAGATTACACGAAACGAGGAGATTTCTATGAAGAGGAATCTGTGACAAATTACGCACGTCCGCTGAGATGGAGACAGTCAAACTTTGTCTCATTTTGTCTCTGTTGCTTTTATCAAATGTTATCTGTCAAGAAAAGGACGCAGGAAACTGGAGAGCAGAAACTGGAAAGGTAATCCTCTTTAAACATAACTAATAAATCAATGGTCTGAATTTGCGGAAGACCCATTTAACACTGTAATATTTCTTTGGGTTTACTGGATGTGGCAGATAGACCGATTTCGTGGACAACGAAATGCTTTAAATAGTTTGGTGATTTTCTTTTAACTTTTTTTTTATTATAATGCCAGAGCAAGTGGCCTAACACTGGAATAGTTCAAGATTTCCTGTCGAGGCTGAACAGAAAACCCGGAGAACGGCAGTACATCGGAGTCCTGCGGAGGAAAGGATCCGGTACGGGCTCCTCATATCACACACAATAATGGCTGTTTTAGTTTGGCAATCTCTTATGTTTGTTTCCTCCTAAACAGACAAAATGCAGACAACACGGAAGCGTGAGCGTAATTTATTTGCATTTCGCACTTTTTGAACTATCAGAAGGAATTTGGTGTGAACGATATTAACTTTTTCTCATTTGCTTTTACTCCCAGGGCACAGATTTCAAACCTTTATAGGTCTGATGGGTAAAAGGAGCTCTTATAATGAAGGTATGATGAATGTAATTGAGGCTTAATTGTATTTTGGGCTGATTTCTGCCTGGAAACTGATGATTTCACCTCTGCAGGAGGCCTGTGAGCAGCAGAAACATCATCGAGCAGAACGTCTTTGTTTTCACTATTCGCTTCGTTTAATTTCACTCCATTTAACTCAACATTTGATTAGAAAGTGTCAGACGTCATATTCCCAAAGTTCAGAGGCTTCCAGGCCAACAGTGACATCTGGTGGGGGAATAAATGATGGAAGAACTACAGTAGTTGTGTTTTTAAAGGAGCCATCGCCATCATTTTAATGACCAAACCTTCTCACTCACCAATACCATCACAGGTTTATTAAGTGACTTTGTACATTACAAATGAAAAATAAAATTAAAAATACAGAGATGGAGTACATAGCCAAAGCAAAAAAAAAAAAAAACGTGGTGTTGACTCTTCATTTCCCTCTGATCGTTTGCAGAGTGACTGGAATAGATTTCTCAAACGCATCTCTGATTAGCAGGAGGTTTAGAGAGGATGCTGCCCTCAGGCTCCCAGGGTTTCCTAAACATACAAAAGTCATCACTTCCGCTGGCTCGGTATATAAAAAAATAAACTAAAGTGAAATATAACACTTATGACGTTATAAATGGTGGTCCGAGGCTAGTGAAAATAGCTAAACACAGGAAAAAGAAAGTGTTACATTTCAGATATAAAAGAAGCTGTAGCCATGATCTTTTTTTTTTTTCTTAAAGTCTATAAAAAGGCCCAAGGTGCATTTCGATGCTTTTTGTTCATTTTTTAGGTTCTCTGCTGCTGTCAATGCCTTTTCATCCTCTTACTTTGGAGGTGTCAGATTGGGTTACTGCTCAAATATTGTCGCTTTAATGCTCCTGTAAACAAAAAGAACCAGATTCTGATTGTACGCGGGTCAGATGGGGCTTCTGCTTTCCCTAATTCTGTAGATGCCAGACGTTTAAAAGCAACCTTGGGGAGGGAAATAGAGCGGTAGGCGGGGACAGTATTGAGTTATACCAACAATAATAATAATAATAATAATAACACCAACAGTTGTAATAATTAAAATCATAATATGGGTTTGGCCTTACTAAAGTGGGGTTACTTTTCCTGTTTTTACGGTAAACACATTCCTTGATGATGAGTCCCAAAGTGGGGGGGGGGGGGGGGGGGGGCTCTCTGGCATCAGTTCAGGCCGTACAAGCGGACCCCCCCTCCACACACACC